AGAGAGAGAGAGAGAGAGAGAGAGAGAGAGGAGAGAGAGAGAGAGGAGAGAGAAAGCTTATTTCAGCTATAGATGAATCTACATCTACCCCACCAGAGCTGGTCTTAGCTTCATGTCTCCTCCTGCCTCCCAGGCCCCTGTAGCTGGAATTTCTCAGGCCCAGAGGGCTCTCTGGATTCCCCCACGGCCCCCAGCTCACCCTCTGATGTTGGCCTGGACTGTTTCTACTATATCTCTGTCTACCCTGGATATGGAGTAGAGATCAAGGTGAGTGAGTGGTCTCCATCAGGAGGACAATTATCCTTTCCCAGAAAGGGGCCTACATGAGGAGAGGTGGGAGTGCTTAGGTACCAGTTGCGGGGGGAGGGAGGAGTGTTAGGGCTTAGGGGATAGACCAAAAAGCACGGATTGGATTTGGCCTTGTGGACTACCAGTGATGGCAGGGAGGACTTCGGGGAAGGAGCAAGTGTGCCCAGCCTCTTCCTCGGGGCTTGAAAGATGGAGTAGGAAAGACCTTGACGGGGGGCTCAGCCTTGGGTGGGCAGAGGACTGGATGGACGTGGGTTCTGCATTTGAAACTGTGTGAGAGTACAGATGACACAGGATCACCTGTGAAGAAGCCATGTACCTGTTCCTCTCTTCATTCCTTCCCAAATGCGTCCTCTCCTATAGCGAGTGCTGGGTCCTGGGATGTAGAGGTGCAGAAGATTGACATGGACACACCATGGTCAAATCTGTCCCCCCATCCCCATCTCCGGGGCATCTTATCCTTCCCTTTGGATTCAGAAGCTACTGGAAGCCCAGACCTGAGTCTGAACATCCTGACTGATGGTGTTCTCTTGGCTTTCAGCCGCCTCGAATTTAGATCTTTCCTTTTGTTGCCCCAAACCTGCTTGTCGTCCCACTGTATCCAGGTCAGAAACCTGGAAGAAGGCTATTATGACACAATTTGGATCGTTCCCCTGAGCAGCATGGGGTCCCCTGGTCCTTTTCTCTTAGTTCAACCATCTCACCCACAAACTCTGTCACTGTGAGTGTTCCCCCCAAAACTCCCATACTCCCCTGCTTCTCTTCCTCCATCACCCCAACCACTGTGTGGTCCCCCTGGCACCCGCTCATCCCTTCTGGTGATTTAGTAGCACACGCTCCCTGTTGGTCCCCCTCCCCACCCCACCCCTGTGCCCACACAGCAGTCACTTCTCTAAGATGAGAATGTAATTCTCCTGTCCCCACCCTGCCCCAGGAGGCTCTGGCTCTGAGTCTGGGTGGTCCTGGGCTCACCTCTGCTACTTCCTGCCTGGTGGCCAGCTCCCTCTTTGTTTTGAACAGTTTGCAAGTGATTGAATGGACTACAGTCTCCTTCTCCCACAAGCCCCACGGCAGTCCCTTGAGGCCCAGGACTGGTGTCAGTGTCCCTGGGCATTCTCAGCTTGTCCTCAAAGTCTTGAACCATCACCTACCATCTTAGCCTTTGGGATCCTCCCTGTTTCCAGCCGTCCACTTTCCTGGATACAATGTACGATGCTAGAGGGCCTCGTAATACAGGGATCAACATGGGGGTGGAGGAAAAACCATGAACATTTGGCCTGTGCCTTAAAGACTGTTGCGAGTGGAAAGCAAAGCATTTTGCCTACCTAAGGGAAGCAGGCAGGGAAACAGGAAGCCCCAGGAGGGGAGAATAGAAGTCTGGAAAGCATCAGCAAGCTCCCTGCTCACCAACTCTGGGCCTGCTTCCCACTTTGTCCCAGCTCACACAGGCCCCAGATCTGAGCAGGCAGCCAGCTGCACGTGTCCCTAAAGGGCACTTCCAGCTCACTCCTCTAGAGTAGTCAGGTTCTGGTCTCCCAACCAGGTAGGGAGATAGGGGCTCTCCTACCCAGACTGGCCTCCCCTCTTTCTTCTGCAACTTATTCTTGTTCTGCCAAGCTCCAGGCCCCTCGTTCCAGGCTGACTGGAAGGGCAATTAGAAACAACCACCCCCCTCTCAAGCCATTAGCACTCAGCAGCGCTTAATTAAGGGAATTAATGTAAAATCATCACCAAATGAGAGGTGGCACCGGCTGTGGCTCACAGGGTGGAAGGTGCCAGCTGCAGGTGTGAGGAAGGAGATGGGAGGGGGCAAATGCCAGGCTGGCTACCCCACTGCAAACCTGGACTGGCTTTACCTGTCCCTAAACACTGCCACCCCAACTAAAATTTTACGCCAGGCTAAGTCCAGCCCTGGTCCCCATACCCAGGGTGTGCAAGTTAATGGGACAAGATGTATCGATGGCTCTGCCTGCCCCTGCTCTGGCCCTAGTCAAAGTCCAAGCCCCACCCTGGGTGCCCACCCCTCAGGCAGCCCTGGGTCTGGCACTACCACACTTACATCAGAATGCAAAAGCGGTTACCAGGCAACCTTGAGACAAAAGCCATAGTCCTGGACTGCCATCAGGAAACATGGCATTTGCTGGCCCACCCTCCTCTTCATCTTCATAGAAGCAGAGTCCTTGAGGACTCTGTGGTCTGAGACAGAATCTGAGGTTGGGGGTCAGGGTGGGATCACAGAGTGACCACAGCCAGCTCTCCACCTACTTTAGGGAAAGGACAAAAGATAAAACAACAGGATCTAAGGTTGGGGCTATTTCTGGCTGCCTCCCCAGACCTACTTCTCCTGAATACAACACACAGGCCACTTGGAATCTATAGGATTACTGATACTATAGACCAATATACCCATTACATAGCTGAGGAAACTGAGGCCTAGGTAAGGAAAGGGATTTGCCCAAGATCATTCAGTTAATCATCAGCTAATGGTCTTTGATTAACAGGTTTGTTTCACAAACAGAATTAGAGCCCCACGTACCAGGTTCTGTGCTGAGCACTGAGGATACAGATGCACCTGTTCAAAGAGGATGGAAATTATAAGCAGTGACCATGGGGTGTTCAGTGCAGGCCAGACCGGGGCACAGAAGAGCTGTGGGATGACCGGCCAGCAGCTGCTGCCTGGTCTTGGAAGGAGCAGATCTGACACACTTGTCCCCTGGAGGCTTCCCAGGATGTTTGAGAAGGCAGTGTTGTGTAGGAGGCAGGGATGAGGGTCAGGAATGGGACTCACCTGTAGGTAACCCCAGTGTGGACCTCTAGTTCACCAGAATCACCAGGGCGTGTCGGGAATTGGAGCTGGGCAAGGGACATGTGAAGAGCCAGGGAGAGGACTGCACTGTGTCCACAAACCCTACTCCTGAGCAGGACAGCCAGGTTCCAGGCCGAGGCAGCTCTTACTCCAGCCCTGACTCGGGCTTGCCTTTTGTTGTCTTGTTTAAGGTGCAGCCTGGGAATATCAAAATCTCTGAAAGTCTCATTCTCCAAGTTTGGGCCGCCACAAGCCTCCATAATATTTCCTTCCATGCCTGCCCATTTCTCCATGATGGTGCTCCCCATGCCCTCTGAGGGAGGCCAGGTCAGGAGCCCCATGGTACAAGGAGTCTGGCTTGCTTCAGCTGAGCACTGAGCACTAGGCTAGGCTCTTTCCTGAAAGATCCAGAGAAACCCACATGAGCCCTGTGAGCCCACATGGGTCTTCTGCCCTCCCTTGGTAGCCGGTCTCTCATGAGGACTCCAGACCTTTCTGGACCTGATGGCTGCCTCTCACTACATTTGCCATTCTAAGATCCTCCTCGCTGCCAGCCTCCCTCTCGGCTTGGCTGCTCTCTGTGCCATCTGGAGACTGGGCACAGCTGCCCACTGCCCCTGCCCTCATGCCCAGGTGGCCCCATTGGCACACAGCTCTCTCAGGCCAGCTGTCAGTCTGATGGGCAGAACACCCAACCCTGCTGAGCCAGGTCAGGACCAGTCCTAATGAGAGCATCAGTAATGTGTGATGGGGTGGGGTGACAGTTCTGGGCAGTTTCTTATTTCCTGGCTCTGGGAGGGCCTGTCTGAGGGCACTGAGAGTAGCTGGAAGGTATGACTCCATGGTTTTAGGTCCTTCATCCCGTCCCTAAAACAGACTATACCCCCCCACCCCCGACACACACACAGACACACACACAGACACACACACAGACACACACACAGACACAGACACACGAGGTCTTAAAAACAAGTACTGGATCGTTTGTTTGTTTGTTTGTTTGTTTTGTTTTTCGAGACAGGGTTTCTCTGTATAGCCCTGGCTGTCCTGGAACTCACTCTGTAGACCAGGCTGGCCTCGAACTCAGAAATCCGCCTGCCTCTGCCTCCCAAGTGCTGGGATTAAAGGCGTGCGCCGCCACCACCGCCCAGCCCAAGTACTGGATCTTAAGAGACTGAAGTCTGCTTCTACCTCCTATAGTCCAGCTCTTAGTGACTAGATAAGCTCCTGACCTTCTCTGGGCCTCAGCTTCTTCCTCCATAAAGGTTAAACTAGGTCAGTCCCCATGACCCACTCCCTCTGATTCAAGACACTCTTTCCTAAGCTCAGGTGTACAATGGCCCCTCAGGCCTTGCTTCCTGGTAGCTACAAGCTGGGGCCTCTGCTAGATGTGGAATGGCCAGCCTAAGGGAATGATATTCAGGCTCACCCTGGTGTCCACTGCCTGGTGTCCATGCAGGTTGTACTGACATAAATGAAGGTTTAAAAGAAAGGTAGCATCATCTTGATTGCTTTGGAGGGTCATGCCTTTGGAACGTGTGTATGTCAGTCATAGACACATGACTTCGAGGCTGGCAGAAGGCAATCTGAGCCCTCCCTCTCTTCTGTCCAGGAAGAACCAGCCCCTGCTCAGAATGGCCATGTTTTCTACTTGAGCATCCCCCCTGGTCTTCCAGAGGCAGGGCAGCGCTGGACAGCCCAGGGTCCTATGGGAATTGTCCTCCGAGCTCTGTCTGCTTCTGTCTCCCGCTGCCTGGCTCCCAGGGCCCCTCCTGTCACTGGATGGGGTGTGGGAAGACAGCCCTCATGAGCAGAGCTGACATTTCAATCTGCCTCCCCGACTCTTCAGATGCCTGCAAATTACATCAAGACTTCATCTCCCCCTTGTCCAACACCCAGCCCTGTCTGGCCCCTGTCAGCCTGGCCCTCCAGCAAGTGACAGATTACATTCCAGCTTCTGCACCAAGCCTGCAAGTGGGTCCTCTAAACCCAGAGGACCAATGCAGCACAACTAGCCCTGAACTGCTCGGGGAGGTAAACCATAGCTCTCACCCCCAGGCTAAACTGGGAGCTAGATCCCCTTTTCGGGCCCAAAGAGGGGGTGCAGGAGATCTCAGCTCTCAATTTTCTAAGCTTTACAGATTGCCAAGAAAAAGGATGGCTCATGGGAACTCAAATCCCAACATCTTGAAAAGGCCAGGGCAGGCCAAGCCAAAATCCACCTCCCTGCTAAACCTAGGGCCTGGGAGCCTGGCAATAAAGATGTCTCGAAGTCTATTTCTGCAGGTGATGTCCCCAGGAGACTGGGAGGGGAGGGAAGCTGCCTTGTACCTCCAGCTGGGGAAGACTTTGCTTCTTAATAGCTGTGTGCCCCTTTCAAGGTTCCTTAGCCTCTCTGGGACTTTTTCTATTTGGGAGGACTTCACCACCTTGACACATTGAAGATGCTCTATGAGTGGTCATGGCTGCTGCACCCACCCTCAGATCCCCAGCAGAACAAGATCAGGTACAGGAGGTTAGAAGTCAAGCAGGAGATACGAGAAACTAGGAAGAAAATGCTTCCTTGATTTCAACTCGCCTGCCTCCTCCTACACCCAGCTCTCTGTTCTTCAAAGCACTCTGAGAGACCCACCTGCACCATGCTGATCTGGGAACTGCCAAGCCCTCCGCTCTCCCCTTGAGAATTCCTGCTGCCTGCAGTCAGTGCCACTTAAGGCAGAATCGTATGCTGCCTGGCATCTCTCGATAATTACAGATTCCACGTGTGTGAGGCTTGTTTTCCCAACTCTAGCATCACACAATCTCCAAGTTTGAAGGGACCTCATCCAGCCTCCGCCTGCTAGGGATTCCCTGAGGGATGTCCCCAGCAGATGGTCAGGCAGCCGCCACCCAAATGTGCCTGGGCGGGGAGCTCCTGGCACAGAGAGGGTGCTTTTGCCCTCAGCATCTCTCTTTGAGCCTTCTCTTCAATTTTTCCTCCCTGGCAGGGATGAGAGCTTCTCCTGACAGCTGCCCCTCCTCCACCCACAACTTATCTCTCCTCTGCCTTCCACCAGAGGAGTCCCTCTATACCCGGCAGCACTTGTGTCCTTGCACCTGACTGGGCTCAGGTCATGCTTGTCAGCTCACAGGGACACACTTGTGAGGAACAGGCCTCCAGGGACCCACATACCCTCATTCTACTTCTCTGTGATAAGATCGGCCTATGAAGAGTGTATCCTGAACCAGAGCTCAGTACAAGGCTTCAGTGGGTAGCTGAAGAGAAGGAGGTCTGATGGAAAGCCTGGAGAAGGATGAATTGATGGTTTGGTGTGGGAAACAGAGATAGGAAGTGGGGCCGGGTGGGATGGGCAGTAATTCTTGTGCTGATATCCAGAGGGGCAGAAATGAGGGAAACTTTTGTGGCTGCACAACAGGGAACTGAGGCTGAGGGAGCCACTGGAGCCAATTGTGAGTGGGGAGTTTGAACCTTGTCCTCTGAGCAGCCTGAAGCCACCAAGGAGGTTTGAATGGGAGAGAAAAGAGGCCTGACCTGGGGCAGAATGAGTGGGGGGTCGGAAGGTTAGATGTTCGCAGAGGCCACTCTCAGAAACAGTGGGCAGGAGGGGGAGGAAGAGGAACCAGCTGGGATGCTTGAGAGATAAACTAGAGAAGGGTTTGGTGACTCACTGGGCACCGCTTAACCTGTGCAGGTGCTTAACTCTTGAAGGTGCAGTCTCAGAGCTCAGAGATCCGCCTCCATTGGTCAAGTATCTGAAATTCAGAGTATGAGTTCATGGGTCTCAGGTGGGGTCTAAGGGTCACCCCATTTTCTTCTCTCTTTTTGTGTGTATGTGTGTGTGGTGTGGGAGCCTGGGGTGGGGGAGGGGATGTTAAACTTAAAGCAAAGATGATGACCTTGGTTACTTAGCAACTTCTGAATCACCTGGATTTACCTCCCATGTGCTGGGTTTATGGACATATGCTACCACACGCAGTTTATGTAGCTGCTTGTGTGCTAAGCAAGCAACCTACCGACTGAGCTACGTTCCCAGCCCTGGTTCTGTTTTTCCCAGAAGCTCCTATGTGATGTCGATGCTGCTGGTGTAGGGGCCACATTTTGAGTAGCAAAACTCTGCCGGGTATGGTGGCACACACTGTAATCTTAGCATTCAGGAGGCTAGGCAGGAGAATCACAAACTTGAGACTAGCCTGGGCTACATAATGAGATTCTATTAAAAAAAAAAGTAATAAATATAATGGAGCCTAAATACTGTAGTTGCCTAGGAACACGGGTTAAAACGAGCCCTTCTATTTCCAGGCTCTCAATCTGGTACTCTTCCTATCAGCTGACGGCATCACTTCCCCTCTGGTCAGAATCTGTTGTCTGACCTTTGAAGGGAAGCATGCTCAGGGACTAAGAGTCTCAGGAACAGGAAGGTAGCAGAGGGGCCTCTGACAACCAAAAGAAGTGACCACAGCAGATATGATGACATGAGACAAGGCCAAGCTGATGGGCCAGCAGAGACCTTGTTTGCCAGAACCTGTAGAGGCAGCTGGAGAGTCTGGAATAGTACCACAGGCTACAGACTCACTGGAGAAATACTGGGTGATTTAAACAAGAAACCCTGTGATGTGCGGCAGGGACTGAGACTATTGATGGCTTCGGTTCAGAAAATATTGATGTGAAGGGAGGAGTGGGTTAAGCCCTCCAGGCAGGGAGGCTGTCACGAGGTCGCTTTGGTGATCTAGGTGAGCAATAACCGTGACAAGCTAGGTAGCACCAGCCTTGACGAAGGCGACTGAACGGATCTGCAGTCCATCTGACAGACCAAACGACCGATTGGATGCAGGGCATGAGGGAAGAGGCAAGGCGTGGGTACTCAGGTAGTGAGTGATGTTATCGTCGGCAGCTTGGGGATCTGCTGGCTAGGGAAAGAAGTGGCTCACAGCAAGGCAGGCTGGGTTTGAGGGGTGTGTGCAGCATGTATCAGGAATATCCAGGGGAAGCTGGGTACATGGGTCTGGTATTTAGGGCCTTGATCTCTTGGCTAGACCCCTCACGTACTATCAAATCTACAAACAAGAAAACAGAGCCCAGAGAGGAAACCATAGAAAGCAGGTAGGGAGTTCTGCTCATCATCTCCATGTGAACTTGGGTAACATGCCTAACATCTCTGACGTTTGGGTCCCATCTCATACTTATGAGGAAGCAGTATGGGCTCTTCCTGTGTGAAATGCCTAGTATGGGGGTTCTAATGTACAAGAAGCCAGCATGTGGGCCAGAAGGGCTCAGGCAAGAAGTCCTGATAGCACCTCTCTGTTCTCTTCCATTCACCTGCAGGTGGAGAACATCAGCCTTCAGGAAGGGGAGACCATAACCGTGGAGGGCCTGGGGGGACCCGATCCACTGCCCTTGGCTAACCAGTCTTTCCTGCTGAGGGGCCAAGTCATCCGCAGCCCCACCCACCAAGCAGCCCTGAGGTTCCAAAGCCTTCCACTACCCGCTGGGCCTGGCTCTTTCCATTTCCACTACCAAGGTAAGGTCTGAGCAACTGAGGGAGGAGCCAGCTCTCCTGGGTGGCTTTGATGTCCTCACAGTCTGGGTCGGGGAGGAGCTGAAGGGACTTGACAATGACCATCTGGAGGTCTTTAGCTAACCAGACTGGCTTTCCTCGCCCACCTGGGATCCAGCCTATGCCCCACACGGCAACTGAGGATGCCCAGGAGAGGAGCAGAGTGTGGTGAGATGGACCACACTCTGAGGAGGCAAGCTTCTTGCTAGCTGCTGACTTTGAACAGGTCATTTGGCTTCTCTGATTTTTTTTTCCTTTTATTTATTTTTTTTAGTATACTAGTACTAAAAATTTAATTTTTAATTTTTTAAAAATTTTATGCATCTAGCGCACTTATTTGTTTTGTGTGAGGGCAACTTGTGGGGGACTCAGAGCTCTCCTTCTACCCTGTGGGTTCCCAGGAACATACTCAGGCCGTCACGCTTGGTAGCAGGTGCCTTTACATCTGGTCGTCTCTCTGGCCCTTATTTTTAGTATTAATAAATAAGATAATTTCATCTCATATTGAGAATCAAGACTAATCCATTCATTACTGGTTAAATTTTAGAAATATTTTCTGTAAAATGTTTACTGTTTATACTGGGCATGGTGGATACAGAGGCTGAAGGAGGCAGAGCTTCATAGGTTTGAGGTCAACCTGGTCTACACAGTGAGTTCCAAGCCAGCTGGGTCTATGCAGTGAGACTCTGTCTCAAAAACAAAACAAAACCAAAAAAAAAAAAAGTATTTGATTGGGAATTAATCTATTGTAATATTTCTATAAATACAGTCGAATCTCTACCAGCACCACAATACTACAATTCTTATTCATTTTGAAAGCATTTAAAACTATAGAAAAGTACAAAAATAAGACAAGATGTCTATATGGCACAATTTAGAATTAGCTAGCATCTTCACAGTCTTCACATATTATTTGTAGTCTTTAACATATACCTCAAAGACATACCCTCCACACGAATACATAGAAACACAGACATACACAGACACACACGCACATGCACACACACACATGGACGCACGCACACACCCCAACAATGGCCTGAGGACATCCTGGTAAAGAAAAAGTGTTTTCTTTTTTTACCGTGTAGTTCAGGGGTTGAACTCGGGTCATCAGGCTTGGCAGTAGACACCTTCACTGATGAGCTATCTCACAGCCCCTGTCTTACACTGTAGCTCAGGCTGACCTCAAACTCACCACAGCCCGATGGCCTCGGCCTCCTTTGAATATAAGGATTACAGGCCCGAGCTACCAAGCTGGCTGGAAACTAGTTTTTATAGGAAACACTGAAGCTGCTCTCCCACGTCTCAATCTACTCTTCCTTCTCTGCTCCTCACTCTGACATCACTGTCTGACCCTCCCTTTCCTACTGCAAAACGGGGCCAAACGAGCGATAAATCTTTTCAAAACCCATCTACACTACAAAGTTACCAGTTACCATTTGAGTAAAACAAAAAAGTGCTTAGTCTGCCCTGCATTAAGGAAGCCAATATTGTGCGGTTTACAGGATGCAGGAGGGAGGCAAAGCTGCAGCTTCCCCACAGGGTTCCTTCTTGCCCATCCCCTTCCCTGCGCTGGAAGTCAGTTCCATCCTTTGAACAGGTTAACTTTAATTCAGACCCCTGCCCCGCCCCGAACGCTAACAGGGAAATAATTGGTAAGAACAACCAAGACATTGTCTTGTGTTGGCAGGGACCACTTCTGCAGCCTTGTAGGGGGAAGAGCTGATGGGTGGGCAACCACCCTGGAGCTAGGAATGCTCTGACCCTGTCTATTCACCTTGTCAAGGTTTTTCCACCCAAACTGGGGGAGCAGCCTGGTGTGACAGCAGGGATCTTAATGGTGGGCAGAGGTTGTCCAGGCTCTCAGCAGTGGTAGGTCCCCACCCGGGCAGGGATGACCATCTGGGCGGCCCCTCCAGTCTCCCTAATGGCTCATCAATCCTCCTCAGCAGCAGGCATAATTTCATGCCACAGTAACCTTTTCTTTTGCTGCAAATTCCTTTGCACAAAACTCCAGTTCCCTCTTTGTGCTGGCAGACAAAGGTGGGAGAACGCAACAGGGCAGAGGCCTAGCCAGGGAGCAGAGCCCTAGGAGAGACAGGGAGAGCTGGTCCGCTCCTGCTCTTTGTCCCAGCAGCCCTCCCTCCTCTGCCCAGTTTTTGTCAATGATCAGCTCTTTCCTTAATGAGTGTAATTCCCCTAATTATAGACTGTAATTAGCCCTGATCCCAGAGATGGGAACAGGAGGAGCGTGTGCTCACGGGCATTTCTCGTGGGCTGGAGAAAAAGGGTGCCAGGAGAGTGAGGGAGGGCCTGGGAACCCACGCCTATGCAGGCGCTGTCCCAGCTGATGAAGGAGGTCACAGTTGTGAGCTTCCACAGAGGCCTGTGGCCGGCCGGCCCCCTCTGGCTCAGTCCCAGTCCAGGTGGAGAGTCAGAGTGTCTGATAGGCCCCTCCCTCCTCCATCCAAGCATTCCTGGCACTGAAGTTGGCTCTAGAAACAGCCGCCAGCAAGAAAATAACTCAACAGATTGTGGTAGTGCAGACTCCCTGGGAACGGTTGGTTGTCATGGCAATAGGAGGAAGCTCATCTTGGGAAGTGGCACTTACCCATGATGGAGTCTGGGGGCGCCTCTCGATGCCACCAGCCCCCTGCTTTCATATCATTCCAGCCCACTCCCTTCCCACATTGTGCTGGGACTCACAGGGAAGATGAGAGCACAGGTGCTGAGTCTGACACCTGGCCTATGGCTCCCAGGGAGACAGCTCCTCATCCCCTGGGTGGGCGTAGTCCTCTCTATTCTAGCTTAGGGAGAGTGAATGAAATGCTGAACCAGCTCCAAGGCCAGCCTTGTCTGTTACTCTCAGGTTTCTCTGACTCCTTGGGCCAGGTAGGAAGCAGAGGGCCTCTCAAGCCAGGAACTCAAACCCCTACCCTACCATAGTTTACAGTCCGACGAGGACACAGATGCTCTCTGAACCTCCCTCAGACTCTCCCAACCTCAGCTTTCTTTATCTTAAAATGGGTTAATAGCCCCTACCCTACCTCCTTTCTTCCAAGTGCATTATGGGTACTAGGTAGGAAGGAGCTCTTTAGAGCTGGAAAGCACAGCAACTCTAAGATGTTATTCGTACTTGCGACTGCAAACATTAACGGCCAGCTTGGGGGGGGGCAGAGGTAGGTGTGTGCTTTTTGCCATGCACATGTGACCTCTCACTTAACCCCCCCAGCACTGGAGGCAGCATTCTCAATCACTGGTTAAACAAAGATACCATCAAGGCGCAGAGCAAAAAAGTTAACTTACCCAAGGTGGCACAGCAGCGAGTAGCGGAGTCTGCATTTAAACCCGGAGAGTCTGACCCCAGAACCCATCTCCAAAGCACTGCCCTCTCTTCTTATTGGCCAAACTTCTTATTGGCCAAACCCTCAAAAGTCTCTTTTCTTTTCACTAAGAATACGACAGGTGGAAAAGGCCCCAAAACTGAGTCACAGTCAACTCAAGCTTTGGTAGCTCATCTGCCCAAAGGCAGCCCCTTTTTCTGTTCACATAAAGGAACAGAGGCACAGCCAAGCCTTCTTTTTACTTTTTCTCCTTGTCTGCTTCAGGCATTCTACCTACCTCTTAAACCCAACCAGATTCCCCCTTTATAAGCTATTTTGGGGCTTAGCCTAAGGGTTGGGGTTTACCAGGCAGTTTTATGGGATTTGCTGCCCCTGTGTGGTCGTACATGGTATGACAACTCCAAAAGCAACCAGGTTTCCCAGAGTGGCCAATCCTACCTCCAATTTCCAAGAAAGTGACTGTGACTTTCTTACACCCTTCCCACTGTCTTTAAAAGTCGTTTGCTGACCTACTGGCTGTATTTCTTAGTAACGTCAGAAGCTACCCTAATAAAGTCTCACCAACATGACCGCCTAAACATGAGCTCAACGAGGCCAGCTATAGATATGCCAAAGTAGATAGACCACTAAGAAAGACCTACCAAGGAATGCTGAGATCAGGAGAAACAGTCTTCCCCAGGGAAGAGCACAGCAATCGGTTATCCAATAGCAAATGGTCAGCCCTGAAAACACACATATACATAACATTATACAGACTGAGCAGGTCATACTTAAGGTCACATATATGTGTATACCTATATATATGAATGTAATAATTAATGAAAAAAGAGGCCATACATTTGAAAGTGAGTAAGAAGGGGCCATGTGGGTGGGCTTGGATGGAGGAAAATGAAGAGAGAAATTATATCATATTATAATATCAAAAATAGAAAAAAATAAAAACAAAGAGGACTTTACTGCTGCCATCAAGCTTTGCAAGATTCCCTCGGGAATACTGAGGACACCTGTGCTGTCTGATTTCAGTCTCTCCTTCTGAAATTCACGTTTGCTTCCTACAGGAAAAATAACATCTACAAGTCACCCATAATATTTTTCTTTTAACACTGAGGGTCAAACATAGAGGAACACTCTACCACTGAGCTATTGTGAATATACCCAGACTTCTAGAAGATTTGTTATCATCTGGATCCCAGAAGTCTGGCAGCTTCTGTATGGTTTTGGCTTATCTGTTTGGTTGTTTCTGAGACACGGTCTAACTATATATCTCAGGCTGATCTTGAACTCAAGACCCTCTGGCCTCAACCCCAGAGATTACAGATACATCAACCATACCTGACAAGCATTTCCAGCCTCACTTAAGAAGTAAGGAAACAGCTGGTGTGTGGTGTGCCCTTAATCCCAGCACATGGGAGGAAGAGGCAGGAGGATCTCTGAGTTCTGGGTAGCTTGATCTGCAGAGTTCCAGGACAGCCAGGGCTACAGAGTCAGTAGCAGCACTCAGGAGTTGGGTGGAGAGGGGAGGGGGGAAGAAAACACATAGAGAAAGCTTAAGTGTTATTGGGCTTGGATAGGAACCTCAGTCTCCAAGCTTCCGGTTCTCTGCTGTTCTGATAACCAACCCCACTGACCTCTACAAGAGAACAAATGGGATGCTTCTGTGGAACTTCCAATGCTTCCTCTGAGCCCAAAGACACCTGGACCAGGCTGTGCAGGCACCCCCTCCCCTCTTCACCCCTTCCCGTCCTCTCCCCATTCCCTCCTTTTCCTTCCCCTTCCCCTCCCCTTTCCCTCTCCTCCTCTCCCTCCTTTCCCCTCCCTCCCCTCCCCCCTCACTGTCACCCATTCTCTCTTCACAGCCTATCTCCTAAGCTGCCACTTTCCCCAACGTCCAGCTTATGGAGATGTGACTGTCACCAGTCTCCACCCAGGAGGCAGTGCCCGCTTCCACTGTGCCACTGGCTACCAGCTGAAGGGTGCCAGATTCCTCACCTGTCTCAATGCCACCCAGCCCTTTTGGGATTCCCAAGAGCCTGTCTGCATTGGTGAGTGGGTCCCCACAAGGAAGGCTTAATGCCAAACAGGAGCAAAGGGGGGGTCATTCCCTGATCTCCACTGCTGTCTGGAACTTTCAGTTATGTTCTATAAGGAAGCCAGAAGATAGTCGCGCATCTCAGTGGTACTGTGCCAACCTACATCTGTTACCTACCCATTATATGTCAGCATCACAGGTCGAGTTCAGAGTTGGTTTTCAATGTTGCATGGGTAAAACAAAGACAAGAATGTGGAGAGAAAGCAGAACCAATCAAGGATGACTCATGGCTTGACAGACCGCTGGCCAGAGGTGGCCTCGGACACCTGCGGTAGCTCTCCAAGCATCACTGCACTGCCTTTCCTTGATGGACTGCTAACGGATGCTCAACACTGACCCCTCTGGCCTGAAACTGCATTTCTTCCCCCAAGAAAGGCTGAGCTGCTTTTCTGGGCCCAACAGTGAGGGTTTCTGGGCCACTTGACCATAGAATTCATAGATGATATGAAGAGGCAGGCGTCAAACCTGGCTTACGCCCTGAGAGTCCCAGTTTCAGGGAAGGGGGGAAAGAAGAAGTATAGAGATGCTGGAGAGATGGTACCGTAGCTAAGAATTGCTCTTGAAGAGACCCGAAGTCTATTCCCAACACACACTAAAGCGGCTCTTAGTTACTAAACTCTAGTTTGGGGATTCAACGCCCCCTGCTGGTCTCCACAAGCATTGCACTTACATGTACACGCACATACTCATATGCATGTAACTTTTTAAAAAAGAATTATTTTACTTATATGAGTACACTGTAGCTGCCTTTAGACACACAAGAAAAGGGCATCAGATCCCATTACAGATGGTTGTGAGCCACCATGTGGTTGCTGGGAATTGAACTCAGGACCTCTGGAAGAACAGTCAGTGCTCTTAACCGCTGAGCCATCTCTCCAGCCCTACATGTAACTTTTAAAAGAATAAACTAGAGCATAGGTCACTAATTTTAAAACAGGGAGTAAAAGGTACCAAGGAAGAGTCATAAAGTGGCTGGTGTGGTGGTCACAACTACAATCCCAGCACCTGAGAGGCAAGGTTTGAGATCTAGGCCAGCCTGAGCGCCATAGCCAGTTCTTGCCAAAGGGTGGAGGTTGACGTGACCTGGGGAAGAAGCAGCCATTCATTCCCAGTTAGTATTGAGACAGCTCCCTTGAGGAGGCAGCACTGAAGGTTTGGTCTTTCCATGCAGGGAGCAATGTAAACAACGACAGAGGAACAAGAAAGAGAGGGGGTTTAAGGCACTGGGGACAGGCAGGTGGAGTAGACAGTGGGAGGGACCTGCACCGTCAGGCCAAGACTCAAGGTGCACAGATGTTGAGGTTTTTGAGGAGGGAGGGGAGGAAGTCAGAACTGCTCCTCAGGGAGCAGTGGTTGTCTGAAGGCTGAGAGGCCATCCTGGAAAGAGGATTTGATCTGGGGCAGTGACTCTGGGAATGAAGAGGAGGGAAGTTCAGAGACACTGATGAGAGAGGCAGGCTGAGTGAACAAGGACCTGAGTTCTGCTTCCTAAAGATTAGAAGGTTCGACATGGCTACAAACCCAGGCTTGTGGAGGAAGTGTCCGGTTTGCCGCGTGACAGGCAATTTGTGCCTTTTGTCCTTTTGAAGGAGAAGAGACTTTGGCTTTTGAGCCTTATTTCCTTTTATATTTTTCCTAGTCACTGAGCTTAGCTAGGCATGCTCTCTTGCCTCCAAGAGCACCATCTAGGGGGAAGGCTGGAAAAGTGGCTTAGTGTAGACAATACTGGTGTGGGGTAGCCTCAGTGTGGCAGGCATATGGGCCAGGGAGGTCAGGTTCACGCTGAGGAGACCTGGAGGGCTTCCCACAGACATGGTCCGGAGCGCTTCCAGAAATGTTAGCTCAGGGGCTGGTATGGAGAGATGGCTCAGCAGTTAAGAGCAGTGACTGCTCTTCCGGAGATCAAATCGCAGCAAGCACATGGTGGCTCACAACCATCCGTAATGAGATCTGATGCCCTCTTATGGGGTGTCTGAAGACAGCGACAGTTTACTTACATATAGTAAATAAATAAAAACTTTTGAGCCATAACTAGTAGGGTCGGAGCATGACAGAGAAGGGAAGCGGTGGGGGGGGGGAGGGGAAGAAATGTTAGCTCAGGGCAGTTTGGTGGATTCTGTATGGAGGCTTGAAGGCAGTAAGTATGCTTCCTGAAGGTTTCAGGAAGGGAAGACTGAAAATCAACATAGAGATAATCCAGCTCATAGTGGGTTTGAATTCCATCTCAAGGGAAATAGAGAACAACTTGGTGATTCCAAGTCAAAGATGGCCTGGGGTTCTATTTCAAGGCCAGCTCCATGCTGAGACCAAGCAGAAAGTTAGATTGCTCCTCCATAGAGAATGAGAGACAAGACTCATCCTGACCCCCAGGATCCAGATTCTACTCGTTTGTCATCTGGAGCCTTTGGGGCAACAGTGTTCTGTGTGGGGAATGGTAGTCTGACCTCCGAGAGCAGAACTGTGGTGCATTTGAGAAGAAGAAGAACTGCCTGGAACCCAGCTTCCTGCTTCAGATCCCTTCCCGGTCCCATTCACCTTCTATGAATGCCAAAAACCCTCACTGTTGGGCCCAGACAAGCAGCTAAACCTTTCTTGGGGGAAGAAAAGGCAGTTTCAAGCCAGAAGGGTCAGTGTTGAGCATCCCTTAGCAGTCCATCAATGAATGCAGTGATGCCCAGAGAGCTACCACAGGTGTCTGAGGCCACCTGTGGCCAGCAGCCTGCCAAGGTGTGAATCATCCCTGATTGGTCCTGCTTTCTCTCCACATCCATGCATTCATTTTGGTCATCAAACAATGAAAACCAACTCTGAAAGAAACAACCTCTATCCCAAGGTGGTCCTAGTTAAGGGACAGATCCAAACAGATAACTGACCTTCTGTTTTGTGTTCTGGGGGTTCAAATCTGAGGTCTGCTATCATGCTAGGCAAGCCAGGAAGCTAGGTTTGCAGAAGTAACAAGGCATGGCAACATGTGTCATCTCAGCACTCCAGGAGCCAAGCAAGAGGACTGCAAGTTCCAAGCTAGCCTGGGCTACACCGGAAGAGCCTGTTTCAGAAAGGAAAGGCCAGGTGTGGTGGCACATACATTTAAACCCAGCACTCAGGTGGCAGAAGCAGGTGGACCTTTGACTTTGATCTTTTGAAGCTAGCCTGGTCTACATAGCAAGTTCCAGGTCAGGACTACATAGTAAGAGCCTGTCTCAAAACCAGGAAACAAAACAAAAAAAGAAAAGGAAGTAAGGAAAAAGAAAAGAAAAAAAGAGGAAGAAGTCACGGATAACAGAATGTGCCTATAATCTTAGTACTGCAGAGATGGAGGCAGGGGGATCATTAGGACATCATTCACTGAGTTCAAGGCCAGCCTGGGCTTCCTGGGGTTAATAAAAAGGAGGGAAGAGAAGGAGGAAAAAGTAAGGGAAGAAGGGAGGAAAAGAAAGAGACAAGGAAGGAGAGAGAGATGGAATGACATAAAAGTATTAGCTGTGTCCAGGAAAGTCGGAGTCTAGATAAGAGCATTAGCATAACAAAGTCAGCTTGGTGAAATTGGAGCCTGTCAGTTGGTCTTGTTGGGAGAGAGGCTTGCCAACAGCCGCACAGCCAGGCAGTAACAGAACTGCCTACAGTCAAGAAAGCTGCGTTGAAGCCTCTGAGATGTGGATGGTCCGCGGGTGGGATTCTGAAGTTTGAAGTGCTTGTTGCTGCAGAGTCAAGATTGCACGCTTAGCTTTCAGGGGCACCACAGCAAAGATGGTGTCCAGGCAAAGTCCCTTTGTCCACGTAGAGGGTATGGGGCTGGGATGAGGTTTTGGAGGCTGCTTAGAACTAGGGCAGAGCCGGGTGGTAATGGCGCACACCTTTAATCCCAGCACTTGGGAGGCAGAGGCAGAGGCAGAGGCAGAGGCAGAGGCAGGTGGATTTCTGAGTTTGAGAGTTCGAGGCCAGCCTGGTCTACAGAGTGAGTTCCAGGACAGCCAGGGCTACACAGAGAAACCCTGTCTTGAAAAAGCAAACAAAACAAAAACAAAAACAAAACAAAAAAAAATAGAAAAAGGGCGAAGGCCAAGCATAAGTCCACTGCCACCCACAGCTGCTTGTGGCGGAGTGATCCGGAACGCCACCACTGGCCGCATTGTCTCTCCTGGCTTCCCCGGGAACTACAGCAACAACCTCACCTGCCACTGGTTGCTAGAGGCTCCTGAGAGCCAGCGGCTGCACCTGCACTTTGAAAAGGTCTCCCTGGCAGAAGATGACGACAGGTGAGGGGCTGTCCTGCCTGGATGGGAGAAGCTCTGGGGAGGATATCATCCCCATAACTGCCTCTCTTCTGGCTCAGGCTCATTATCCGCAATGGAGATAATGTGGAGGCCCCGCCAGTGTACGATTCCTATGAGGTGGAATACCTGCCCATTGAGGGCCTGCTCAGCTCTGGCAGACACTTCTTCGTGGAGTTCACCACTGACAGCAGTGGGGCAGCTGCAGGCATGGCCCTGCGCTACGAGGGTGAGCCCAGCCCGCCAGAGCCTAAGCAGGGTGCTAGGCTCTCCCCCCAGCATACCCTTTCCCTTTCTGTCTGCATTCTGTCGCTCCTTCCAAGTGTGGCACCTGCTCCCTGCCCCTCCCCCCATCTGAGATCCCCATCCCATCCTTTCGGGAGCCCCTTTGCCTGGACCACCGATTTCTGGCCCAAGAGAATGAACTCTCCAGGTTTTAAGAAAGTTAAATAGGCCTCAACACTTGGAGGGAAAACTTCTCTGAGAGGGACTCTAGAGGAGCTGGAGAGATGGCTCAGTGGTTAAGAGCACTGACTGCTCTTCCAGAGGTCCTGAGTTCAATTCCCAGCAACCACATGGTGACTCACAACCATCTGTACTGGGATCTGATGCCCTCTTCTGGTGTGTCTGGAGACAGTGACAGTGTATTCATCTACATTAAATAAATAAATAAATAAATAAATAAGAAAAACATAACAAGAAAAACACCTAAAATGGAAAAAAAAAAGAGGTACTCTAGACCCACACATATGTGCGTGGTTCATTAACTCATCAAAAAAATTATTGAGCACCTTCTGTACACTAAGCACCAAACTAGCCAACAAGAATACAATAGTCATTCAACATGGCTTCCTGACCAAAATAGGGTTTGATGTCCGGTTCTCCTGCCTCCTGTTCCAAGCCCAAGATACACATTTTGCCCTGAGAAAGAAAAGCCCGGAGGAGAGAAGTAGAACACCTGTCCTCTGGCCTACTCTACTCGGGAGAGGCTGAATGGGTCTGGGTCCTGTGCTTCACAGCCTTCCAGCAAGGACATTGCTATGAGCCCTTTGTCAAATACGGTAACTTCAGCAGCAGTGCACCGTCCTATCCTGTGGGTACCACTGTGGAGTTCAGCTGTGACCCTGGCTACACCCTGGAGCAGGGCTCCATCATCATTGAATGTGTCGACCTCCACGACCCCCAGTGGAATGAGACAGAGCCAGCCTGCCGAGGTCAGCAGGCACCAGTGGGTGGGTCTGCCAGGGCAACAAGCAGGTTAGCTCTCTAGGGGCCAGCCACAGAACCAAGGCCAGAGGCCCTGCTGAGTGTGATTGACATTTCTCCTAGAGGGAGGAGGTGGGGTCCCCTAGCAGTGGGTGAGTACTCCTGTGGGCAGGTGAAAGCCCTAGGACACCATATTGGAGAGGATGCGCCTTCCCGGGCTCCCCTTCCTTGCAGCCGTGTGCAGCGGGGAGATCACAGACTCTGCAGGCGTGGTGCTCTCTCCAAACTGGCCGGAGCCTTATGGCCGAGGGCAGGACTGCATCTGGGGTGTGCATGTGGAGGAAGACAAGCGCATCATGCTGGACATCCGAGTGTGAGTGCCTCGGGTCAGGCAAGCCAGCTCCTGAGGCTGGGGACACCTCTAGTCCAGCCCATCTCGGCCCCTCCCCCAGCCCCTCCCACTCTGATCCTCCTCCTCTACAGGCTGCGCATAGGCTCTGGGGATGTACTGACCTTCTACGATGGGGATGACCTGACAGCCCGGGTCCTGGGCCAATACTCAGGGCCCCGTGGCCACTTCAAGCTCTTTACCTCCATGGCCGATGTCACCATCCAGTTCCAGTCAGACCCTGGGACCTCGGCGCTGGGCTACCAGCAAGGATTTGTCATCCACTTCTTTGGTGAGCTTGTGCTTTCTGATTTGGATTGTAGACCCCCCAAATCATGACAAGTCAAACGGTGCAGGGCAACAGAGAGTCTGGATGCCCTGTCAGACACAGGGAACCTGGGAAGGTGCCATGTATCACCAGGAGCCTTTGGTTAGAGCAAGAAAGCTCTAGGGAGGCAGAGAGGACTTCCAAAAACAAACAAACAAACAAACAACCAGGGAACTACAGAAAAGTGTCAGTGCCTTCCTTTCTGCCAATCTTGAACAGAAATGATTTCCCTCATCCTGCTTTGCCCATCTCTCAGGCCTGAGGAACTGGCCAAGTGCTTCTGGGAGTAGAGCCAAAGCCAAGATGACAATCCTGGAACCTTGGAAGGGGGTGGGGCTTGAGAAGAGAAGTCACTGAGCCTCTCCAGGCCAGTCTAGCTAGGTTCAGGATCATCTACAAGAAACAAAGGAACCTCAGGGTTGGCACTGTCGGTCACTGGTGCTGGCTAAGGGGCTGCATCTCTCTGCTTCTGTGTCTTCAGAGGTGCCCCGCAATGACACATGTCCAGAGCTACCTGAGATCCCCAATGGCTGGAAGAACCCATCACAGCCTGAACTGGTGCATGGCACAGTGGTCACCTATCAGTGCTACCCTGGTTACCAGGTGGTGGGATCCAGTATTCTCATGTGCCAGTGGGACCTAAGCTGGAGCGAGGACCTGCCTTCATGCCAGAGAGGTGAGTGTGCCTGTCCCCATGGCCCCTCCCGGCCTGCCTCCTGGGTCCTGAGAGAAAAATCTAGCACTGGTCCTGTTTCTGCTAGCATCTTTATTCTTTTAACTTGTCCCTCAGTTTCCTTATCCATGAAATGGGATGATCCATTGTCACAAGACTTCCAGATAAGTACTACAAGCATCTCTTGGCTGGCTGATGACCTGGCTGGAATTAATGGCTTTGTTGAATTTAATGAGTGGGAAAAGAATCCATCAGCCAGAAGGGTAGACACAGTCAGGCATGGTGTGTCACATGCCTGTCATCTCAGCATTCAGGAGCTGAGGCAAGAGGATCAGGAGTTTGAAGATTGCCTGAGGTATAAGGTGAAGCATTTATCTCCAAAAAAGGGGGCAGAGTGGAGATGGTTGAATGGCTAAGAGCCCTTACTGCTCTTGTGGAAGACCTAGGTTTGGTTCTCAGTACTCACATCAAGCAACTCACAGCCTCCTGTAGCCAATTCCAACAACCTCTTCTAGCCTTAATGAGTATCTAAATGTATACACACACACACACACACACACAGCAAAAAGACTGAGGATGCAGCTCCGTGGTAGAGCATCACCTGGCATGTATGCCATCCTGAGTCCCAGCACTGCAAAAAAAGAAATCAGAGAAATCAGAGTAGAGCCCTATAGTCTGGTATTAACTGCCCTGTAACACTCATAAAGCCAGGGTGAAAGGACCTTTGTCCCCACCCCCTCACTCTCTTCTTCTCCCCCACCCCACCCTTTCCTCTCACTCTGTCTTTGATAGTGTTTCTAGCCTGAAGCACCTATGCAGGTCAGGATTACCTTGAATTTTTGATCCTCCTGCCTCTACTTTCTTAGTGGGATTACACCCACCTTCTGGAGTGCTGGGATAGCAGCACTCACTGCCAGGCTGGGTTTATGCAATGCTGTCCATTAAATCTAGGGTTTCCTGCATTCTTCGGAAGTGCTCCTACTAACTAAGCTGTAGCCCCGACGCTGAGCCTGCCCTGCTTTCCCTCTCCATCTGCAGTGACATCCTGCCATGACCCAGGGGATGTGGAGCACAGCCGACGCCTCATATCCAGTCCCAAGTTTCCTGTGGGAGCAACTGTGCAGTATATCTGTGACCAGGGTTTTGTGCTGACGGGTAGTGCTATCCTCACCTGCCATGATCGTCAAGCGGGCAATCCCAAGTGGAGTGACAGGGCCCCCAAGTGTCTCTGTGAGTGTGCAGTGGGTAGGAGGGGAGCCTCTAGTAGGAGAAAAACCTGACACCTTGACTGACCCTGCCTGCCTTGCAGTGGAACAGTTTAAGCCATGCCATGGCCTCGGTGCCCCTGAGAATGGTGCCCGCAGCCCTGAGAAGCGGCTCCACCCAGCAGGGGCCACCATCCACTTCTCCTGTGCTCCTGGTTATGTGCTGAAGGGCCAGGCCAGCATCAAATGCGTGCCTGGACACCCCTCACATTGGAGTGACCCCCCACCTATCTGTAGAGCTGGTAAGTGCTACCACTCCCTTAAACATGCCCTCCCTCCCCTGCTGCCACCACCACAGTCTGGACCATAGAGCTATTCTAGTGAAGCAATTCTATGTTGAGAATCAGAAGCACTTGCCCATGCCCATTCCTGTTCCCCGTCTTTGCTAGTCTCTGATTTAATGTCATTAAGACAATGCAGGAGTAGGGTCTCCCTGGTCAAATTGTCCCCATGATCAGCCCACATAAGTGCTCCTTGCATTGACAGTTTGGTCGTCAGACTCACCCACTGCCCTTGGCCTTTCTCTCTTGTTCCAGCCTCTCTGGATGGGTTCTACAACGGCCGTAGCCTGGATGGTGAGTCCCTATGCTTGAGAGCCAGATATATGGTCTCCCCATACCTGGTTCTTGCAGCTCCTAGGCCATGGGCCTATTAGGGCATTAAGCTTCTTGCCTACCATAGCCAGCTAATGAGAGCTGATCTCTGAATGTCTTTAAGAAGGGAGGGGAGATAGGCTCCAAGAAATGGGGACATCAACTCTAATCCCACCCACTCTTTGCTTTCAGTTGCCAAGGCACCTGCCACCTCCAGTGCCCTGGATGCTGCCCACATGGCAGCTGCCATCTTCCTACCATTGGTGGCCATGGTGTTGCTGGTGGGAGGAGTGTACCTCTATTTCTCCAGGTGAGTCTGGCTTTTCCTCCTATTCTGCGTACCCAACTTACCCCTGGTCTGTACTCTTGACTCATAGGCTCTTGTGTCCCCACAGACTCCAGGGGAAAAGTTCTCTGCAACTTCCCCGAACTCATCCTCGCCCCTATAACCGCATCACGGTAGAGTCAGCATTTGACAATCCAACTTATGAGACTGGAGTAAGTATCCATGTTGGCCTAGATACCTCTTCAGGACTCGTTCTTTGATCCCTTGGGTGGGTATACCTGCCTGAGGGTCCTGCCAAGCCCTTCTACTTTCTTCTTTGCCTTGGGAAGGTGGATTTCGGGCTCAACAAATCTTCTACAAGTTTCCAACTCCCCGCAGTCTCTTTCCTTTGCAGGAGACGAGAGAATATGAAGTTTCCATCTAGGTGGGAGCAGCCTGGGGTAGGGCTCCCAGCTCTCTGCTGTCCCTCACCTCCTGTACATACCGCCTGGGAAGAGATACCACCAACCCCTTCCCTGCCTGCAATGTCCACAGTGACCTATTCTCTTGGCACCACTGCCCGCTTAGGGCCCTTCTTTGGATTCAGGGGGCACCTGCCTCGGGTAGAACCTAGCTGGAGCATATTACCAGCAGCCAACATTCTCCTGCTTCTCTTTTGCCCTGGACCTCCAGCCTGGAAGTTGCAGGCAGAGCAGGGGCACTTTTTACACATAGCCACCATCAGCCCTGGCGTTCGAGGACTCTAGAAGAACTGACTTGATAGCAGGGTGCCCCTTATGGGGCCAACTACCAGGGGCCAAAATTGTTCTCAATCGTGACCTCTTGGTAGTCCTGGCATGCCAAGACCAGCCCCTCAGGGAGCTTTCTAGTCTCTCTCTAAAGGCTCAGAATTTGACAGTTAAGCCTTCTGCCCTGTCCTGGGGAGGTGATGATTTAAGGAATCCTAAACGGTCCAGGGACTCTATCCCAAGCTCAGGCTGGGCCTCACTGGATACTCATGCTCCACACCAAAGCAGGACACCCTAACGGCTCCCCGGCACCTCTCTACCCTGAGGAGGGAGAGCCCTTCCTTGAAGTTTATCTGGCTGTTACAAATGTCCCTTTTCCTACCAGTCCCTCCTCTAAGCCACTTACCATATTGCCCCTTCCTGAGACTATGTTATGGCACGCCAGAGGAAGGCAGTACATTCTGGAGAGGAGCAGATGTCCAAGGACCCAGGAATGTGGCACAGAGCAGAAGTCAAAAATCCCCAGGAGGAATCTCGGTCCGGACCGAAGGCCACTTTGTACATATGATGTATTATATGGGGTCTGGGCTCCAGCCAGAGAACAGTCTTTTATTTCTGTTGTTTCCTTATTAAAATGGTGTTTTGGAAAAAAAATCAAGCAGTGTGAATGGTGATTTCTTGGAGGGAAGGGACATTTGTAACATTCATGTAGATGAATGTGACATGGACCTTGGCACACCAAGACCTGCTGGATGCATCAATCAATCATGCTCAGATTTTATGACAGAAAAAAGGTTATATGTAGTTAAATGGGTAACACTGCCCCCAAAGGCATTAGTGTTACAGATGGCAGGTGAAATGAGAAGCCCCAGTGGTTAGTGCCATAGGGGCGTGGGAGCCCAGTAACTCAAGCGCTCATCAACCCCGATGCCTTGTTTCCTCCTCTTTGCCAGGGGTAGAGCCATATGCTGGCCCAGTCCCAAGCCCCTTTTAGTACCACTGGATTGCTGACAAGGCCCAAAGTCAGATGCACTGCCCCACCCACTCTTTCCTGTCAAGTGAAACTTGAGAGACTGGAATCAGAACCATAGACTGAGCCCTTGTGCATGAGGCCTAGCTTGCCTCGGCCTCAGAAAACATGGAGATTGTAAGCAGAAGGGATGGGGAACTCAGCGGCCCGAGACAGGCAAGAGGCCTGCCCATGGGCTCTTTAAGGTGACTGCTGAAAACATACATTCAAGTAACATTATAAGCACCGAGCAGGTTGTACTTATGTATTTAGAAATGTGTGCATATATATGCATATATATATATATATATATATTCACATATGTATGTGACAATTAATTTTAAAAGATGTCATGAACTTGAAAAGGAGGAGGAAAGAGTACATGGGGGAGTTGGAAGGAGAAAAGGAAGAGAAAATGATGTAATTATGTTATCATCTTTAAAAATAATTTAAAAAAGCTGGGTGGTGGTGGTGCGTGCCCTTAAGTCCAGCACTCAGGAGGCAGAGGTAGACAGATTTCTGAGTTTGAGGGCAGGCAGGGCTACACAGAGAAACCCTATCTCAAAAAATCCATAAAATAAAAATAAAGGAAAAAAATTAAAGTTGTGATGGCCATGATACACTTAAATTTGCCCCTTCCCTATGTCCCCTAAAGCCTTCTGAGATGAAAGTATCTTCCCAGGAGGCAGGCAACAGAAAATTATTACAGCACTTGGAAGCTGTAAGCAAAAATTCCTGAAAGGAAGGCTATCATCCACTAGCATCTTCTGCTTCTGAATCTTCAGCGGGAAGATGTGGACCAGAAATTCCCCCTAACCGGGCGGTGGTGGCGCACGCCTTTAATCCCAGCACTTGGGAGGCAGAGGCAGGCGGATTTCTGAGTTCGAGGCCAGCCTGGTCTACAGAGTGAGTTCCAGGACAGCCCGGGCTATAAAGAGAAACCCTGTCCCAAAAAAAAAAAAAATCCTCCTAGCCTAGAATTATCGAAGTCAGGGGTTGCTGTTCACTCATAGTGCAGTGCCTAGATCAACCACAAGAGGTCGCTTCCGAAGGCATTTCCATCCCACCAGCTCTCGTTCCTGAATTCCCCTTTAATACCCTGAGCTGGAGCTCTCCAAGGTGGCACCAAGTCCTGCCCCGACAGGGCTGACCTCATCCTCAGGCTCCAAAAGAAAGGTGTGTGGAGTGACTTGTTCCTCTGGCACCTATCAACAGAGCCAACTCATTTTCCTCACTAGCCCACTGCCCGCTCCTGTTTTCAGCTGCAACGGATGTGTTGATCAAAGCAAAGCCTTGCTTACTGGGCGTGTGCCAGTGGCTTACTTCTCTGTCCAGTAATACCTCCAGACTGACATAGCAGCACAGCTGTTCTCTGGGTAGTTAGGAAGGAAGCCAATGAAAGAGGGCATCTGAGGTTCTGACTTCTGAGGTTATGTAGTATGAAGCAGGCACAAAACCTGGTCTCTTCCCTTCAAGGAGCCTAGCCCTCTCCTCTGAGAGTCACATCACAGTCCTATAGGGGACAGTCTATTGTTGGCCAAGCGACAGAAGAGCAACTAATTTGCATGGCATTCTCTACTTCCCCATGACATTATTCTTCCTAGATACCAACATTGGGCCACTGGAGAAATACAAAGTCACACACACACACACACACACACACACACACACACACAGAGAGAGAGAGAGAGAGAGAGAGAGAGAGAGCACTAAAACTTCATAGAGCGCTAAAACTTCACATAGATATTTATGTTCCTTTTGACTTACAGTCCTGACTGTCCTAAAAGGAGGAGCAACAGTTTCTCAGAGACAGTAAACACGGTGTAGGGAACAAAGTCTGATCTGTGAATCAAGAAATGTTTCCTTTTTAGGTTTTCTATAAACTCACTAAACCACTGCTCCACTCCGTGTATCTGGAAATGAAGAGTTTAAATCAAATAGTCTCTAAGTCCTTCCCAGTTATACGAGTCTGAGAATGATGTGTGCAGTAACATAAAAATGAGTTTAGGAGAAGCCAGGCATAGTAGCACAAGTTGATCCCAGAAAAGGGACCAGAGGCAGAGGCAGTCGGATTTCTGTGAGCTCATGACCAATCTAGTCTACGTAGCAAGTTCTAGACCAGCTAGGGCTGCAGAATAAGGCTGCCTTAATAGAATGAACGAACGAATGAACAAACGAAAGAAAGAAAATGAAAGGAAGAAACAAAGGGCAGGACATAGCTGCATGTCACCAATGTTAATGCCTAGTGGGGTTCATTCATTCGCAGTTAGGCAGAGTATCTGTCCATATTGGAAAGTGATAACAAGGGAATAACAGCGCACACCCAAAGAGAAAGGATGTCTCTGCCCAGAACGCGAGGTGGGGATATCAAACTACAAATCCCAATGTGCAATACGGTAGCTCTCAAACGTATCCTTTCCCGACAGACTTTTCCCCCAGTACATCCTACTATACAGTGCGGCGCCTGCAACACGGAACTACAACTCCCACAATCCATCAGAACCATCGCGATTCTTACTACCAGAGTGCACTATGTTCCCGTTCACCCTTTGAACACTGCGCGTTGCAAGATGGGGATTGAAGTCAGCTGTAGGCAGGTAGCTGGGCGTTGTCGGGATTACGGACTGTTTGGGCTTTTGACTTCCTCTCTAAGAGTAGTTCTCAGGGACAGTGGTTAAGAGAGGGTAGCTTGAATTCTCCTTGGTTCCATCGGGACTCAAGTCAGCAATGCTCATGCTAAAATTAGGTGCCGATAGTGAAAATTAAGTGGAAACAGCAGCCATCCAATCTGCCACCAAAAGCGTCTTTTTTTTTTTTGTCGCAATATTTTTTTTCTCTTTACCAATATGGCGGCCTAGTCCAGACACACCTGACGCTGGAGCCAAACAGTCCACTACACCATCCGTATGAGTACTGCTGCAGCCGAAAGCCTACCAGCTGCATACAACATCACATACGCCTTGGTCGTGACTGAGAACTCCAAGGATATGGTAGCCCAAATCTCATTACCAAAATGGCGAAAAGAAAAGCTTCCTTTTTTTTTTTTTTTTTTTTTTTGTGCAGGCCGCCAGATGCAATACGCCTGCGCGTGAGGCGGGTGTGTTAAGGGACAGGAGGGTGGCAACCCAACACGCCTGCGCGGGACCAGAGACCGTGGTCTGCACACAAACACCAATGGGGGAAGCGTCCTCAAGTTCCTGCGGCTGCGCCATGACCCCTACGCTCTTTCCCAGGCGCCTAAGCGAGGCCTCAGGTTCCGCCCTTTAATCGCAGTACGCTGGCGCACGGCAGGAAGGCGGTGCTTCTGGGCTCCAGGCGAATGCCAGCGCGGCTGCGCGCTGGGGGGTACCCCATCACCGCGGCTGCGCGGGAGCCAGGCCGCCGGCTGTCACTGCGGTTGCGCGCGGCGAGCGGCGATCCCGGGGCGCCTGCGCGGGTGGCTTTGCGGGCGCTCGCGGTAAGTTTGCGCCAAGTGCGCGGCAGCCGGGACGCAGACGGCAGCGGCGGCGAGAGGCGGAGCCCGGGGACCACCCCCCATCATCCTCCCCGGAGTCACCTCACGAACCACAACCTCACCTAACCTCTCACCCCCCCCTCCGGTCCCCCAACCCCGGGATGGCAGCGCCCGCTAGCCTTCCCGGCCGGACCAGCGGTCGCCAGCGCCAGCTTTAGCCTGTGGGCCTAGGCCCCACCGAGGCCTGACCCCC